AATAATAATAATAATAATAATAATAATAATAATAATAATAATAATAATAATAATAATAATAATAATAATAATAATAATAATATAGTAATAATAATAAAACATCTTTACAATATTTGCATTTTTGCCAATAAATGGAAACGCGACCTTTTTTCTCCATCTCAGGTTGTTTAAATTTAAATAACAAAAATCCAAGAGAAAAAAATTTAGTGACAGAATCACTAAAGGTGGTCGTGATCAATAGTTTTACATGATTGTTCGTCTACCTGCGCAACACATACCTCCAATTTAATTTTTAATCTTTTCTGAGTGTTTCTAATTTCTCCTTTTTCAGTTACACATTCTCAGTCTTTTTCTCAGCATTACTGGTTGCCAACTGAATACTTTTTATTGTTTTATTGCAATATCTACGTTTTTGATGATTTTTGATCTTTGAATTTATGCGATATTGATAGGACGAGCTTTTTCATTGGAATCAACAGCGAAATAAATATTTTTCAAAAATTCCATCCTTTGCTTCTTCTTTTTTCCTTTTCCTTTTTTATTTTATTTTCGATCTCAAGTGCCATTTCAATGCATGCAGCGCAATTGTTGGAATATTGTCCACAGAATTCTCGCATCGATGAAATCGTTGATAGTGCAATCAGTGTTACTAAAAGACCAACTGCTTCGAGACAATTCAATCCTGATACCCGTATCCGTCAACGAATCAGGAGGAAGACTGATGATTCAGAATCAAACGTGATACAGTCATCATCATCGTCACATTCAAAAAGTGTCAATGATGTTTCATCAGACATTAATCAATCTGATAATGTTTCGCTTCGGCTGAAAAATTCAAAAAATTCAATACTTTCACGATTTCCCGAGGTATTCTACCGATGGTGTTGTTATGGTATCTATTTATTATGGTTTAGTATTGGTATTTTGGCAATTCGAAAAACTTTGAATGCTACAACAGCTGTACGCTATGTAAAAGAACACGGTCATACTGTATCTGAAGAAGCCATTGCTAGTTCCAGTACATTTCAAAAATTAGTATGGTCATTGGATCATGAATTTCGGAAACCACCAGCTATTTTCCTTCTCAACCAGTATGCTCTCAATATGACCTTCAATTTTCTGTGCAATACACGTGATATGAATGGTGTTCATGAAAGGTTAGCTCCTCATTTATCTTCCTGTCATAATTGTCATAATTGATATTACCAATAAGCTTCCTTCATTAATTAACTCTATCAGAACTAATTGATATTGCTATCTTTCAGCATTTATCCACCAATTAGTCCGTTGTTCAATCTCTTCCATGTGAATGTTGAAAGTTATACCCAGTAATACTAACAGTATACAGATCATTCTAATTTTTACCTTGATTTTTTCTTTCACTTCAAGATTTTCTTCTTTTTACTTTTTCAAACTTTTTTTTATCCTTGAAATTTTTTTGACCTTTTTCTACTTGAAAATTTTCAGGCTGATTTTTATCACATTAGATCAAGTAGCAAGAGATGTGTTAAATAAGTACTGGCCCAATATAAGGCAAGTATATTGGCCAACACCAAGTTTGTATGTAAGTAACATTTTATTTCTCCCTTCAAAACTTTGCTTTATTAGGACTAACAAAGTTCTTTTCGGAAAGATATGCCGAATTTCTGAACATAAATTAGTGGCCTAAAAGTTTTTAAATTTCAGAAACATTCAAGTATTCAGACTTTTTATTTTGTACTTTATTGAATTTAAACAAAAAAAAGGACAGATCGATTCGCTTTTTATTAAGAATTTTTAAATTCAAGCTTTTGACCAGAAGTAAATATCACAATGATTAACTGGAAATTAAGTCAAGTTCACTTAAATCAGTTATCAAAAGAACTATCACATATTATCTATCACAGATTCTTGCTGGAATCAATTTGCGTCATATTGTCACAACAATAAGAATTTGGACTAAATTAAGTTTAATTAGGACAAAATGAATATAAAGCGGAATCAATTTCAAATAAATTCGAATAATTACTTAAACGAAGTCAGTTGAACTAAATCAAATTATTATTGTTAAAATTTCGAAGTTTTAGAAGCCATTCAGTTTTGCGGAAGGTGCCTATCAGACATTATATTTACTTCGTGCTAATATGGCGGTATGTTTGCTGAAAAAGGGTAAATCATTCTGGATGATGCAACAGGATACGTTTTGGTTTAAAAATATTTTCGATTTGGGTTTCGAGGAAAATTATGAATATGATGCAATCTTTGATCAAATCGGTTTTGATAATGTTTCCCAACGAGCCGAATGGATTAATGGTGTGCTTTTGTCTTTTTACATTACGAATTTTGCCATTCCAATTTAAATGTTTCAACTTTACTTTTATTATTCTTATCTCTGCTCAACTTTTTTGTGATTTTATTGAACTTTGTTCAATTTTGTCTCTTTTAAGTGCGATAAGATCTCGTGATTTGATGTTGCGCTTTTTCTCCTCCTTTTTTTTTCCTTTTTTTTTTGCTTAAGAAATGAAAAGATAAGATAGTGTTGATAAGAATAGAAGAGAGGATACGAAATTGCCTATAACATCATATTTGCAGTCATTTGATTAGAATAGGAAGGAGGTCAAGCAAGTTTTGCAGATAAAATAAGGCCATTAGTGATTTAATATGTTCGGAAATGAGAAAGACAAGGAAAGATAAATAAGCAGAAAATGATAAACAGATATGACATATGTCGGATTGTGAATGTTGCTGTAAATGATAAGCATAAAAAGTGCATTTGGAAGCTTTACGATTATTTCTACTATTTTTAATTCATTAATTTATTATTTCTTCTATTATTTTTGATTGTTATTTTATCTTATTATTATTTTCAATTTTTCCATTGTATAGAAGAGAGAATAGAAATGATCTTATCAACTCTGTCTTATTTTTCTCTGAAAAAAAAAATATGCAGATGGCTTTTTGAGGGGAAAAAGAAATAACAATAACTTAATTGATAAGTAGACAGCTGGCATCATGAGTTTGTCATTATTAAAATCCAATAATATCTGGAATCAGGAAAAAAAACAATATTTTAAGGCAAATCAAGATAAAAAGGTTGAAATTATTGGGATAATTAATTAAATTAGTGAAATAGCATATCGAAGAATTGGGATGGAATAGCACATCGCGCAATTGATAAAAAATCTTTGAAGTGGAAATCCTTATTTTTTCCGAAAAATAACTTTTATTGGTATTTACATTAAGATTAATTATAGAAAAGAATTTTTTTTTCTCATGCGGATTCATTAGAAAACCGTGAAAATATTGCATAATTGTCACAATTAATTAAATTTTTTTCCCGTTGCTGTCAGTTCACCTCTCATATTTTTACTTTTTTATCTTCCAAAATTTTATTTATTCAAATTAAAAGAAATATGATAAATTTTAGCAGAGCTGTTTAATTCAAGTTGAAAAAAGAAGAAAGAAATCAGAAGGATATTAAAATAAGTTCAATATCATAGCAAGATTTTATTATCGAAAATTTGGAAGAGTAATTTGGTAATTTGTTTGGACTGATCAAACTTACTTATTTTTATAACTTAATTTATTTTAAAGATTGGAGCAAGAAAAAGGAAATTATGTCGTGGATTTTAATTTTGTTTCGAGAAAGAAAAAGATTTTTTTTTCCTATCAATCCTTAAATTTCTTTATAAGTAATCGGTTAACCTTCAAATGAGAAGAATCGAGAGTTGAAATTAAAATTCTTTCTTGAATTTTTCTTTTTAACAATATTTGTTCAAATTTAACATAAATATTTCGAAAAAAAAAAACGAAAACATTTAAGGACAATTATTATCACTTTATAATTAATAATTAATGGGCAATTTAATTTTTTCCTCCACTGTTTTCTTCATTGTCCCACGTTATTATCGATTTATCCTCATTACTTGATCTTTATTATCATGAAGAGATGATTGTTTATGTTTGACAAAAATTGGAGTGATTTTATGATGTTACATAGACTAATTGTCTTATGGTAAATTAGACTGTTTTATTACAGTATTCTTATGGTAAATTAGACATTTTATAATAGGATAGACAGCTGTTTTATGATAACTTAGATTGTTTCAGACTTCAAATTGTCTTAATTATTCCCATTTATAGGCGCAAACTTTTTCGTACATGCAAATAATAGCACCGTGAAATTCTTCGAAGCAATAGCTCGTAAATTAGCGCATTGGTATACACCAGATATGGGTATTATGATACATCAGTGTCACACATGGAAGGAACCAAAATGTAACTATATCCCGCATAAGTAAGTATGGTGTAAATATCAGTAATAAGTAATTAATTAAGTAGATGTTACTAATACCGCACATTGCTATTGAGAAGATTGCTGATGTATTATTATCAGGCTGCTAAAAATACTGATGGACGAATCGGATCAGATGGAATTTTATTCGGAACTGTTACATTATTTTTAGAATATCAATATTTGAATATCGTTTGAACATTGAAATCGTTGAATATTTGAATTTGAACATTTAGAACGTTCGGCTCATCGATTTATTTGCATATTAATCAAATTGAATTTGAAATTGTTAAAATGTTGTAGTGCAGAAGTTTAAATGTTAATTTCAGGATTGCTAATTCCTGGGAATGGATGTACACCAATCAGAAAAATCCACCATACATCCTTCAACTAGACTGTGAAACTGATGGTGGTTCTAAATTAATGCAATTAGCCAAATTTGGATTTTATTTTATGAATAGCGATAATCATAGGGTATATATGATTTGCTATTATAACAGTTGCAAATATAATCTTCATTTTCATAAATTGGAACTGTCATTTTTTTAATTATTAAATTTGTTAAAATCATTAGTTCAGTGCTACGCTTAATGTTTTAGTGGAGCAGAGTATGGTAAGAGAAAGAAATGATTTAATCAATTAAGCTATATTAACAGTCATTTCCGATGTAACTGATTTGTTGTACTATTTTATACATGTTGATCACGTTGGAGCAAACGTGATAAGTATTTTATATGGATAATTCTTCTTATCTTAACATATTAGTGATAAGCAAATCATTCAGGTATGTAATCAAACTGCAGTAGATCTCGCACGAAAACGAATGGAAGATGGTAAGATTGAAGTATCCAGAACTCGACTTAGTTGGGGTCGCTTTCAATTCAAAGTATATTGGTGGATTGTTGATAACATGCTTAGTACGCCGATTTTTGGAACATTGATGAAGCCTTATCTTCCACTTATTGGTTTTATCGTTATGATTACTATTTGAAAAAAAAAAAAATGGGGAAAAAGCGAAATGTTTGTTAGTGTAATTGACTTGTAATTGAATTTGCTTTTGAAATATTACAACTATTATCAATGTGGTATTATCAATGACAAACAGATTGATAAAAAAGGCGTAATTTTTCCCCAAAATTGTTTTGTTATCATACTAGTGTTCTCAAATTGATATCAGTAGGATGTGATATGATGTTATCATATTTGTCAATATGACAACAACTATTGAACTATTTTATTTTGCTCTAGAACAAAGTACAAGTCTTTTGTTTTCATAAGATTTTAGAGCGTCCAATTGAATTCAAGCTATTAGACAAAAAGCTGATATAAAAAACTTGGTGATATTTTAAGAAGTAAGTCTTGATTGTCAATTAAAACAGATGTTGCAGTTGACAAGGTTATTTCTGAAATGCAATATGCGAAGTATTTCATACATTATATTTCAGTTTCGAGCTTGTTGGCTTTATTGGTGAATTAAAAGGAAAAACTAGTTGCTAAATTTTTTTAAACAATTCAATCAGTGATTAAACAAGATATTTGAAGCCAGGTTTGATATTCTTAGTTGATTGAATTCTTTGGTAAAATGCAAATTTTACTAGGACTGTAGTAAGCATTAATTTTTATATTTTTAAAGGATGAGTCAGACGATAGGTTTTTTTTTTCTTTTCATTCTCTGATTAATCATTGCCTTATAACTTTGTGAATCAAACGAAAATGGTCATAAATGTTAGCATGGTTTTTGGCTTAAGTCAATTTCAAATCTTTTCGATGAAATAAGTAAGCTTTTTCTTTCTACTTCTATTCCTTTTTCTGATTTGTAGCAGTCTTCCCAACCGATTCAAATCGATCATTTTGTTCCGCACAAATCTTTTCTTAGCTCCCTAAAATCATTCTATTTTTGTGATTTCGAATTTCATAAAAGGGAAATTTCAAAAAAAAAGCAACAAATAAGTGAGAATTTTGTTAATTCTGTAACCAACATATGATATGTCATTGATGCAAATTTAAAAATTCCTTTCGGTCCATGTTACTAAGTTTCAATTTCAAATTAATTGCAATTTTTGAATTAATTTTATTTCCTTGCTCATCACATTGTCATCTCCTTAAGCACCGTATTTGGTAGAACAATTCGATGCTATCATTATTCCTCACTAAGTTCACAGAATAGAAGGAGATGAGTGATTGGTTATTCAATGTCCCTTACAGTTTCATCCTGATCTTGCTGTACTTCCTATGATATTGTCACCTTTTTTCGGTCTTGTCCTTTATCATTTAATTTCTTCATCAAACATTTCATTTTCCACTTTTCGCATTCTTAATATTGCATATTGTTTTTTAATAACTGGAAGTTTTACCGTTTTAACAATAATCTGAAGGATACGCATTGAATAAATTAATATTAAGTGGTTAATTAATGGAAAAAGGTGGGACAGTTGTCATAATTTGAGATGAGAATTTAATTTTCGTTTCACAGGAAACATTCCATTTTCATCAATTGATTACAACAATGTTATCTAAGTTAACGAAGAAGTGAAATTATAAAATCAATTTGAAAATCTAAATTTTAAGAAAAAAGACAGTTTAGGTATTAACCTTGCTTCCCATTTTATGCGTAATATTTTGGAATAAAACTTTCGGATTTGTTCTTTCTTGATTAATCTTCTCATTCAGTTGCATAATTTCCTAAATGTTTGTTGCAATATTGTTGGAATAAAATTCCTGAAATTAATTCAAAAATTTTCAAATTTTTTACTAAAGTTTTGAGAAACTATTTTAAAAAATTACATTTAATTACATTTATGAATTAAATATATTTATTGATCAAATGACAACAAGAAATATTAGCGCAAAAAGAAAGTGTTATGGATTTGAATAAACTTGAAATAAGCTATGGAAATGGCCAAAGCCTAGGCTAAATTACTTTCATATGATAAGCTTTATTTTGTTTGAAATGATAAATAAAAATATAGTTCTAGCTGTTAGTAATTTCCTAATGATTAGAATTTTTTAGTGACGAAGAATTGTAATGGAATAAGTAAAAATGGAAGGAAGTGAATTAGCCCAGTAGCGCAAACAATTTGAAAGCCTAGGAGCTTGGAAAAATAAGTTATCAGACTGGATTTGCAAAATTAAACTGTGTGCTATATTCTATAAGTATGTGTGTATTTATATACACACATATCTATTAGAATGAATTTTCGGAATAAAAAATAAAAAAAGAGGAAAAAAGGACGGAATAAAATGAAAGCTTTTAAAAGGTGTTTTTTTTCATTACTTTTTCTTGAAGTAATTTTTATGAACGATTAGACATTCCTTAGCAGTCCCTTTCTCATTTATAAGAATTGGTAAATTTTATCAATTAAAGGGATTATTTAAAAGTTGTCATGTTTGAAAAACTTTTGCTCTTTCAGCAAAGTAAATTGAAGAAGAATTTGTGAATTCAGCAAAATGTAAAAATATAAATTGTAAATTTAACTGGAAAACGTTTAAATTTATAAAAAAGGAAACCAATTGATTTGAGTTATTCGATTTCAAATTTTCGACCATTTACCATTTGTTACATTTCTTTCTCTTTCAGTTTTACTTATCTTCCATTTCAGCTCATATTTCTTTCATCAAATTATAATTTCAATCTGTTTGTCGGAGATGAC